AACATCAATTCGTGTGGCTGTGTGCGTGTCTGTTTCTGTGTGTGTGTGTGTGTTTGTGTCGTCCACATTGCGTGTGCCTAAAATTAAATGAAATGCAAACGTCAAGAAAAACAAGAAAACTAAGCACAAATGACTTGCAGAAAATGCTAAACAAAGAAAATAGAAAATAGAGAGCAAGCACAAGCGAACGCGTACGAGGATAGGAGCAAACAAAATATAATAAATACAAAAAGTTGCATGCACTGGGAACATGTGACAGCGATGACGACAGCGACGCTTCTGTTGTTATTGTTGTTGTTCAGTGTTGACAAATCCAAATTGCCAGTTAAAAGGCTGTGTTTGGGCAGAGGGGTAGAGTAGAATCTGTGTGTCAAAGGGGGCGAGCAGAACTAGTCAGTGACCCATTGATAATGCAAAACGGAAGTTACGAGCGCGTTCAACGATTGAAATCGACACAAATGCATCTTTGGGCAGCGGCGCGAGGAGAGAGAGAGATAGAGAGTGCAATAATAGATTCGCCAATGTTTTGAGTTTGAGTGCATTCTTTTTTGCTTTGTCAGACAGCCTGCGCGCTCGCTCACACAAACGTAACTGATAATGCAAAGCGTGTCTCGCGTCGTTTATGCAACGTGCCAGAGTTCTGATTTAATTCTTGTTTTGTATTGAATTGTATTGTGTGTCAGGCAAAAGCAAGTCAGTTGGTCACTCAATAGAGTGATTTGATGCTTGAATACCTATACTACTTATATTTTATTTATATCTTCATTTTATGCATTATCAGCAGACCCACGGAATACACATACTTACATTTTTGTATAGATGTGAGTGTGTGAGACAAACATCTAGTATATATTCTGGCGAAATGTAAAAAGCTTCCTAAGCGCTGGCATTTTGTTGTTGTAAATTATATTTTATTTACACAACAAAAAACCCGTCCACTGCCAGCCACAGCGACAAAAAGCTTTAGATTATTTACTACATACATACGCAAGAATACACACACAGACGCCACGCACACGCCATACACATCCACGAAAAAGGCGACAAAAGCAAATAGTCGGAAAACATATGTTGCTCCCAGTACAAGCTTTGAGTACGCTACAGTGCTGAAAGAGAGGGAGAGAGAGAGAGAGAAGGCGCGCACAAATGGCCCACGCTCTCTAAAGCTTTTTACAAGCGCCTAGTTTGTTTACAACTCTTTGTTGACTGTGTGTGTGTGTGTGTGTGAACGTGTAAAACAAAGGCAATACAGCGATAAATTAAAAATTCAAAACAAAATATAAAAAATAAACAGTTTTGACCTTGAGTTTGGTTAATAACTGCTCCCACAGCGCGTTGGCTCATTTGCTCTTTGTTTGCGCCTGCCACTCTCTGCCCTTTCTTTTGCTCTCGATAATTTGTTGATACCGTGGCTGCCTTAACTATTTTCCCTGTATAGCTTTTGTATATAATTATTCCACATTATTTCACGAAGTGTTGAAATTGTCTGCCTGCTGTGTTTATAATTTGAACTGAAATTTATATAAATGTTAATTTTAAATTTTTATCATATTGTTTTTTTTCTTCTTTAGTATTATATGATGTCATAGTCAGCTGCTCTTGTTGTGCTTTATGTGCGTTGGTCACGCCTTGTAGCCAGTTTTGTACTTTAAACCTTAGCCCCCAGCTAAGAACGAGCCATTGAACATTTCACGTGCATCCCACGCGTCCTTTGTTTCGTTCCGTTCCGTTTCGCTTTGCTCATACATATTGTACATGCAAAACATGGATATACACATACAAATTTACATACACAGAGTCAAACTTACATACCTACATATATGTACGTATGTGTATATACCTATTTATTTATTATATTTTCGGCATCAAAGCAGCTTCTATCTAGCTCGTGTCTGCCTTTTGTAATCATATGTTTTGCATCAGATGTTTTTTCTCGCTCTCATCTGTCTCCTCGCGTCGACCTCCGCAAACATTTCGCGTTCATTACTTTTTCCCATGCGCGTGTTTTTGCTGCTTTTGTTGTTATATTCTTCGTGATAATTATAAAGACATGCTCTTCGCTTTCAAGCTTTTTTGTGCTCTCTTCCGTTCTTTCTCCTACTACACTTGAGCCATCACCAAATGTTTGCTTGTCGTTCGGTTTGTCTTTTGTACGATTCCACTTAACTTTATAAGTATTTTCTTGTTTTGTTATTTGATTATTTTTATTTTCTGTTATATTATTCGGCAGCAAATTTGTAATAAATTCTATTTGTGTTTTCTCTATTCCCATTCGTAGCTTTTGTATATAAGTGTCAGCCGTATGTTTCCTATGTATACTTAAGTACATACATGTATATACGTATAAATGTATGTATATATGTTTGTATTCATATACATACATATGTTCTCGACTAACCACATTTGTTCATAGAGGGCGCTTTGACTTCGAAATAAAAAAAAAAAAATTGTTTGGCCTTCGACGCGTTCGGCAACCTTTGACGAATATTAAACAATTTAAGAGGCAACAACGCGAAAGAATACTGTTGAAGAGGCGGGCTCGAGCAATAGGAATAATATGTAAAGAAACCAGAGAAACAAGCATATCACTTAGCTAAAGTAGAAAAGTAGAATTGTTGTTTTATTTGCCATTCAAGTGCTGCCTTGGATGCTACACGTTGTGTCTATGAATGTGAGTGAGAGTGCGTGTGTGTATGTGTGCGACTTGCTTGGTTTGCTCTCTCATGACCTTGACGAATAGGGCGGCAATGCTCGGTCCACTCTCGTGTTTGGGCTATTGTAATTGATTCCGGCTATCAGCTGTTAAAATGTCGACTTATCGCCCAAAACCGACAGACTACATGCTATAGATAAGCTTGGTCGACTGGGTGATATTAACTCCAAGGTCTTTCATACAAGTACGATTATAAATTTATATGTAAATCTAAATGTATGTAAGTATATGAGTGTTGTATCAAACAGCTGACTTCATAATTTGTTAAAATACCAAATGAATTATTCAGTTGTTGTGTTAACTTTATAGCGATTATTGATCCATAAGGCATCGGTGTGTTGGCACAAAATTGAAAAGAGTAGAGGTACATCCAACTATGATGATAACATATGTAAAAGGTTTGCTATATATAGATTTTTGTGTTTGAGAGCCTTGAAACTGCATTCAAGGACTCTTAGCATTTCATTATTGTAGTTTTTAATTGTATTAAGAAATGCGCAGCGGTGAAATTTATAGTCCCAATACTGGATGCAATTTTCCATTCAAAATTTATGGCCATTTAAATCATTCAGAAGTTTCGTTTTCTTTGTAAACAAACTAATTAATATTTATAATCTACAACAACAACGGGTAGGGAGAACAATAACAAACTGTGGAGTCACCTGCCCGGCCAATGGCAAAAACCGTCGAAACCACAAAATGAACAACAACAAATCAATCGAAAAAGTAACAAAAAATATTTGGCATAGTTTTTTTTTTTTCATTTTTTTTTCAATTTATTTTTTTGTTCCCTATTTTTGTTATTTAGTTGCTTTCGGCTAGATTTCGCGTTTCTCGTGTTCTTCGTTTTCTAACTTCTTTCTTTCGGCTTTGATAGTTCCTTATTGCACAAGCGTGAGCTAGGTATATAGTTTGTGGCCAATTGGCAGAAGAAGAAGGGAAACTAAATCTAAAAATAATATTTATATTCGCTATAAAGCTGACTGAGTGCTACTGATTGCTAGGCCCAAGCTCCGTAAATTTATAGTACTTATAATCATAATATTAATGTTAATAATACTAGATACACTTCATGATAATCCTGTTGATATTCACAATCTTGATTGCAATGATGTTTGTGAATATGATCATGCTGATCTTAATTAATGATGCAAATAACAATAACAATAATAATTCGAATGATTATTATTATAAGTATGAACATTATGATAGTGATAAATATGACTAAATATGATCATCTCGGGCTACATTGTAATCCCATACATTACAGCTGCTTGACTTGATGTCTCGAAACAAAAATAGATGGAAAATGGGAGCCTAGCGTAAAAAAAAGAAAATGAAACAAAACCAAACGAAAAGTCTAGAATTAGTCAAAGAGTTTTTGCAAAACATTTGAAAGATCGACAGTTCGCAATTTGATGTCATCTGGTTTGCGATTATCTTTTATAGTTTTTATTATTTTTTTTATTTAAGCATGGATCTTTAAATGTCGCTGTATAAATAATATTAGAACTTGCAAATCATTTGGAAATAAAATAAAACATTTCCGTTCCCGTTGCTTCCTTTCTTCCTTTTACTCTCTCTTCTCGTTCTCATTCTCGTTGGCTATCTATCTATATCTGCCACGTGTCTGTCGAACAACATCGTTTATGTGTTAGTCCATCAATCATATAACACGAGCCAACAGTCGCGATATTACAAACAGCTGTATATATGTTTATATATTAATATTAACTTCACGGTATAGTTCCGGCTCAGCTTTAGATAAAAGCTGCATTGGAATCTGGCTTTGCAAGAGGAATTAACATAAAATTCATTTAAGCTGATTAGCTTTTTTCAAATGAATCAAATCTGTTGTAGTCTATGATAATAGGCATTTATGATCTGATATGCTATTGCTGTTAATCCCATTAAAATTATCTTTAGAAATCTATCTATTATTTCTAAATTCCATATTTCTAGCTCGCAGTATATCGTTGGGTAGGAATAATTTCTTTATATTAAAAGAGTTTAAAAAATAAATTCTTAAAATGCATTTTACTCGTTTTCTTATACCTTTTCTGATATACTCTACTCTAAAGATCGTTGTAAGGTTATTCAGTTCTTGGGAGATAGTTTAGAGCTGAGATATACAAGTTATTCTGAGTGTTGTTGTCCACAGCAACTGGCAGGCCTTGAGGCTTGGCTTTCAACCATTTCGTATGCTATTAAAGACTATTTATGCTTAATTTAATCAGAAATGCAATTGGCTTTAACTAACTGTTTGACTTTTCAATATCTTTCGCAGCAGCTCTAAAGCAACTGCGCAGTCGCCGCGCAGCGCCTGGGCGCCAGGCGCTCAACAACAACAACTATCATCCAACAACAGCCAGCAGCAACAACAATAATTAAATAGTTGGGAGCAGCCACGCCTTCTGCCCACCTTCGCCCACGGCATTGATCTCTACATTAGTGACGCCATGACTGAGAATCAGGTATATCCCATGTCATCGGAATTCTTTGACAGTGGCTCGAACAGCAGCAGCAATCCGTTGAAATACGAATTATATGCACTGGCCACGCCCTCGCTGAGCATACAAACCGGCAGCTACAACAACAGCAGCAGCAACAGCAACAACAATAGCAACAGCAACAGCAACAACAACAATTCGAGTGCCATTTCGAGCAGCAGCAACAGCTACACATCAAATGTAATGCTGAGCACAACGGCAATTAGCATACCGCGCAGCAACAATTCCAATCAGAGCCACCATCATAGCCACCACCATCATCCGTATCAGCAGCTGAGCGGAACGCCAACATTGACACCGACTCCACGCCAGCAGCAGCATCATTTGCACAGTTTGCCCAGCATGGCGCAGCAGCAACAATTGCAGCAGCAGCAGCAACAGCAGCAACAACAACAGCAGCAGCAACAGCAACAGCAATCGCTGCAGCTGGGTGAACTCAACGTTTTTGGTTTGGACGCATTGGATGCAGCTTCGTTGTCACCAACTCTGCTGCAGGACGTCAGCCTGGGCGCCACCTCGCCTCTGAGCTCCAATTTGTATAGCAACAGCGTCAACGATTCGGGCGGCCACAATGCTGGTGGCAACAGCAGCGCTGCCGGCGCCGGCGTCGGCAGCAGCAACTATTTCACGCCCGATCTGAGCTCGTGCCTCAGCCTGAATTTGCCATCGGAGCAATCGCTGCTGCAGGATGTGGTCCATGGCAGCGCATTGCTCTACGAGATGACGCCCAACTCGAATGCCATGTGGAGCGACATTAGCAGCGCCATTGTCCATACCAAAAACGAGCCATTTAGCCTAGACGACGATTACATCTTTCCCAACGACAAGGCCGAGATGCAAGCCGAGCTGGCCGAATTGAATGGCGGCGATTTCTTGGACGTGATGAGCACCATTGAGGAGTTTCTGCCGGCACAGAACTTTTTGCTATCGCCGCAATCGCAAACCCAAGATGCTCTACCTCTGGAGCTGCTGCAGCAGCAGCAGCAACATCAGCAGCAACAACAACAGCAGCAGCAGCAGCAACAACAGCACCAGCAGCAGCAACAGGCACAGCTGGAAGTTTTGCTCTCGCAGACCCAACAACAGCAAGCGGACACCTACGAGCTGTTCCACAGCACACCACAGAAGCCGCCATCTCAGTTGGGCTCGAGCTTCTCGCCGGGCAGCCAGGCATCGCAGTCGCCACTGACGCCACCCCCACCGCCGCACGCCAGCCGCTCGCAGTACCAGCTGGTCAAGTCGCGCAACATGCAGGAGCTGGCAAAGAAGGGCATGGCCATGTCGTCGCCGCCCGACCGTCACTCGCTGCTCAGCCAGACGGCCGCGCTCAGTCCGGGCGGCAGCAGCAGCGGCTTTGGCAGCGCTGCCAGCGGCAACAGCACAACAACTGCCACGGCAAACGCCAGCTCCAGCTCCCACCAGAGCCCCGGCCAGGTGGTCATCACGGCAACTGCCGCCACGCCTGGCAACATGCGCAAATCCTTTGGCTATCCAACTGGCGGCTCCTCTGTGGAGAACTCTCAGCTATCGCGCCTATCGTCGTCGGCGCCAACGCATCTGGGCGTGGAGCACATCTGGATGCGACGTGAGCCGCGACAGCATTTACTCTCCACCGGCTCGCTGGCCGAAGCCGAGAGCTTCTCCTCGCTGAGCACCGGCAGCGTCTTGTCGCCCGATGGCATCGATTTCTCCCAGGACGACGACGACGATGCCTCCAGTGACAACAGCGACAACTACGATGACTTCAGCAGCGATAACGGTGAGCAAATCAAATCATACCAATCCATACGCATATACTAAATTTAGTATTTTATAAACTCAGGCTCTGGGGATGAGGACGAAACACGCACATCGACACCGAATCAATTGGCCGGCAGCAAGGGCAAGGAGCGTTTCTTTTGGCAGTACAATGTACAGGCCAAAGGACCGAAGGGCAAGCGGCTGGTCTTCCAGTCCAAGCTGGAGGATCCACACTTCCTCAACGAGGTCACTGATCCCGTGTTCAGTCCCACGTGCTCGGTGCGCGGCATAAAGGTGTATAAGGTAGGTCTTCCAAGGCATAATGATGAGGAGAAGAAGAAGACGAAGACGAAAAAGAAGAAAATGATGATGATAAAGAAGATGCTGATGAAGAATAAGAAGAAGAAGAAAAAGAAAAAGTAGATGAGGTCTACAAATTCAATTTGAATTTTGGGACCTTTATATTATAAGCATAGCTCGCAAATAAAAGTTGAGTGTGATCAACCCATGAAACCATACTCACTCCCTCACTCACTCCCTTGCTCTCACCCTGAGCAGTAGCATTCTTTTGTTTCGTTTCGGCTCATGGCTTTGCATTGAGCTAGTCGTGTGATGCTCGTTTCGGAATCGATCCGACTGAAGCTCCCATAATGAGGCTCCGTAAGTGAGCAGAGAACATAACAGTTCAATGCAAATAGTCTTCGTTTTCAACTCTCCCATACGTACCAATACATACACAAAACCTCACTCTGTTCAACCAATTAGTCGGGGAATAACCCGAACGAAAAAACCCGATCCGTTCGATCGCTATAGAACTAATTAAAGAAACGATGCAATCAATTGCTAATCTAATTCTAATCAAATTGATATTTGCCTAAACAGCACAGCGGCAAGGCACGCAAGGGCGATGGCAACGACTTGACGCCGAATGCGCGCAAGCTGCACAACATTGGCAAGGAGCTGGACAAGCTGAGTCGCACCATCAACGACATGACGCCCGTGTCGGAGCTGCCCTTCAATGTGCGTCCCAAGTCGCGCAAGGAGAAGAACAAGTTGGCATCGCGTGCCTGCCGGCTGAAGAAGAAGGCCCAGCACGAGGCCAACAAAATCAAACTATATGGCCTGGAAATTGAGCACAGTGAGTGCATGCAATACTATATTGATGTAATTGAACTATATCATAGCTATAATCTGTTTTTAGAGCGGCTGATGAATGGCATCGCAGAGCTGAAGCAGGCGCTGGCGCTGAAGCATCGCACAAAGAGTCAGGGCGAGTCCACCGAGGAGGTGGATCAGCAAATACAACGCATTTATGCAACGGCTTCATGTAAGTGCAATATGAATTACGTTTATAAATGTATATAAATCAGAGATTAATTGTCTATATTGAATTTCTTATAGCGGGCGTACGCATTGCGGGCAGCTCGACCGATTTTGTGAATAAAGTCTTGGAGAATATGCGCGGCGGCATGCCCAACGGCGGGCTCGAGGAACTGCGCAAATCATAGACCAAATATTCAAAGCTTAAACGAACCGCCCATCAAGTCTAGACATAAGCATTGACTAACATCTAGCCATAGCTCTCGCCAACTAAATCCCTGTCCTATAGCCCGGCAATGTGACCCAGACGAAGCACCCACAACACAACCAAACAAACAATTTTGAAAAATGTTCTGCTTGACTGCGTGATAATAAGTGAATGGAAACTGGTGTAGAGAGAAGTGAGGGAGCGAGAATGTCAAAAAACAAAAAACAAAAACAAATGAGAATGTGAGAAATAGTTGTAACTGTGATTTAGGAGCCTGGCGTTGCATGCAGCAGATAAATGCTTGTTTGGCCAGCGCTAACAAATTGAAACGAAAGAAAATAGAATTCCCTGGGTAAAACTAATGTTAAAAATTTTTAAAATATTCTAAAACAAAATACGAAACAAAATGTAAAGAAAGAGGCAACCATACAACATAAAACCACTACGAAAATTCGTTTAGTTATTAAGAAGAATAATAAGTTAAAGGAACGAACGCATGAATCGAGGAGGTAAATGCAAAGAAAACGAGTCTAGGAATTAGCTACCAGTTTTACCTGCTTACGAGATAAGTTTTTTGATTTTGTTAAAACATTTGAATTGCGAAACAAAATTAGGCTACACAATAACAACAAGGAAACGTATATATTTAACTATATAACCATATATGAATATATATATACAACTGCGATTTATTTGTTTAAGTTTTTATTCTATATATAAACGATGTATAAATTGGTTCAATGTTTAGATTTAAGTTTTTTCTATATATCAGTTGGCTAAAATGAAGAGCTTTTACTTTTATATACACAAACAGATATATATATATATATATATATATATATATATATATATACATATATTTAATCTATAACAATTATGTTTGTTGGCCCCTCCCGCCCCCACATACATACTTTTAACGGTCCTAGGTTGTCAGCTTTTAAGTTTTTGTTTGCGCCTAAGTTAAAATATGATTGAAAGAAAAAGCACAATGAAAATATTATTGTTTAATTTCTGTTAAATTTACCGCATGTCTTATATGCATACATTTAGTTAACATTACTGTTTAATACTATATAACTGCTCTTTTATATACGTATATATCTATATCCCTATATATATATATACACATATTTACATGTATGCGTGGTGATATAATTTTAATTTTCTTTGTATGCTTCGATTTCGTTCGGGTAAAACCTTTTTCTTTGCAGGTTTTACGCAAATACTTTTAAGTTTTTTATATATTAAACCATATTATTTACGTTTCCCGTATGATAAACCTTCAATATAAAGCATAATTTATTAACTTTAGGCAAAACAAACAAACAAACGATTTGCAAGAACTTAAATTACATTCATTTCTTAACTTTAGTTGCGGGTCGCCCTTTGAAGTACATACAAATTAAGTTTCAAATACAAAAACACCAAAAACAAAGAAAAAAAAAAAACTAAAACACAATTTGAGTTTTATTAATTTTCCCTTTATTTGCAATTTTATTCGATTGTTTTTTTGTTTATTATTATTTTTTTTGTTAAAGAACGTTTTGCTCTGCTTCGATGCTAATTTTGTGATATTTGTATTTGTTTATTTTGTTGTGTTAGGGATTTATGTATCTAGGGTTCATTTAGTTCGGGTTGGGGCCTGCCTAGCCTTATATAACTGCTATTTGTTGCGCAATACGTTGTGTTCAGTTGATATCAAAAAACAACTTAAGAAGAAAACAATTAGGCTAGAAGAAAGGGAAGAAAGTTCAAAACATTCGATAGGCGTTTAGCCTGCACTTGATTTCTATTTCTCTTTTCTCTTTTCTTTGATATTGGAGATCGTTTTCGAGGCTTTTGTTAAACAGCAAGAAAAAAATACAAACACAAAAGGAAAATGAAAAATAAATAATAAAAGTGATTAAAGTTAAAAACTTAGAACTTAGGCACTCGTATCACCCACAGAGTTGAGCACGTGGCAAACAAATTTAGTAGTTAGTTTAGGCTTTACAAATAATGGGAAACAAGAAATTCATATACATATATATGTCTAGTTGTATGTATATATATACATATATACTTGTATAATATGAAACAATTATCAATTGGCCATCAGTTTTGTTTAGGGTTTTCAAATTCATGTTTTAGGAGCTTCAAATCCATAAGTGATATGAATACCAATTCAAAATTACATTTACGTCTAATATATAATCACCCACTCACACACACACACACACACAGATACAAAGTACAAGCAACTGAAAATGTTTTGAAATGTAATACCTGCTATATATGGAAAGTTATTGAAGTGTATGCAGAGTTGCTTAGGTTTAGGATCGTCTTTGTCCAAAAATTTGCAAAATATGTAATATGCAAATGAAGTGCGAGACGCGGCATTGAAGTAAGCACGACAGTTCCTCAGTGTTTAATATGTGTAAAGAGCATACTAAATATTATATACATATATACACGTGTATATATAATTCTTAATTATATTGTAACAAAGAATGCGAATACAAAAGTATATATATATACGTATATGTATACACCTGCAAATGCATAAATATTATATTTGTGTAATGTAAATGTGTGCTTTAAATAAATGTGCTTCATATTTACCAATTTTTTTATATGTCGATATCAATAAAAAAAAAAAAAACATAATTGTAAATCGTGAAATACCTAAACAAAGGATTAACTACCTCAATGTTGAATACATGTTTCATATTCAGTAAATACATAAGGAGCAAAATGATATACATAATACAAACATATATGCATATATGTCCTAGGTTTACGTACAGCTTCGAAAATATATTGAAAGTTAACCAAGAAATTAACGTGGGAACTAAAACCTATATATATAAATAAATATGTATATATATATACATATACAAAAAAGAGAGCCTGATCCATATTCAAATGTGTCCATTTAAAGAATACAATTTGTATTTTGCAACTTAAGAATGTACGAAGAGCTGAAGAAAAAAATATTTTAGAACTTCGCTAGAAAACGAAGCGCTGAACATTTTGCAGTTCTGTAAGATTCCAGGTCAAGAAACTAACTTATCGAGCTATTCAGCTCAACAGACTGCCTGCAAGGCTATCCAAATAATGCAAACAAATATATATACAAACATATGTGGTGTCCAATAAATTGATAAACAGTTATGAATATATATATACATATTGATATACAAAAACTAATAATTTTAATGAAACTGTGTTGAAAATTTCAAATTGTACGAGCCTTAAGGCAAAACAATAGATTACATAATTATTATGTATAAAATAAAATGAAAGAAGGAACAGCGAAAACTATAAATATAATATATAGAATATGAATATATATATTTAAAAAAAAAAAAATCATAAAGCATGTCCAAGCAACATAACAAATGTGTCTATATATATTCAAATTACCTATAAAATTTCAATATGAAAAAAATAAATGGCGACAGCAACACAAAAAAAACTAATATTTATATAGTTTTCTTCACAGGAAATACGGAGGGAGCTGCAGCAAAAAAATGTGGAACGCTTCACGATTTTGCGTGTCATCCTTGCGCAGGGGCCATGCTAATCTTCTCTGTATCGTTCCAATTTTAGTATATGTTCTGCCGAAGCAAGAACGAATGTAGCACAAAAATTCTTCTATTTATACGTGTACCTTGCGAAATAAGCAGTTGGGAATTACAAGCACACCACTAAGCAGCACAGTGCGAAGTGCGCCATCTGTTGTTCATTTTGCGATTGGTTTGTGCACATGCTAAAGAGACACATTTTAATCGGTAATAAGCTAAAATCAGCATTGCTGTTAATCATTTCAATGTTGCTTGAACAATTAAACTGATTTATTTTAACAGGCATTTTTATTAACTTGTTAAATACACATTCGTTACAATTGTTAACACAAATGGTTTGCTGTATTTAGACTACAATAGAAAATAGAGATTCAGAGGCACGACTAAGAGAGTTTTGGTTCGACTGTTGAAATTCAAACAGTTTTGCTTACGAGAATTATAAATACATTTTTCTTTTATACACATAAGAAATCAAAAAAAAAATATAGTGTCAAATGATTTCAGTTGATTGTGCTGGCTGCGGCTCTCGAGGAGACTACGTTTCCTCCTCCAGCTCATTTACTCATGTTTCTGCTCGGGCTGCAAATCGAACCAGGACTTCAGGCCAGCGGGTGTAGTTATTTCGCTGTCATCCAACGGTATTTTAAGCTGCAACGGAATAAGATAAGAGAAATATGATAAACGAAAAATAAGAAAGCTGTGTACATATTTCTCTTGAGGACTACATATTGTATACAATTTGTATGTACCATATGGACAATTGCTAAAATGTTAATATGAATTTTCACTATGGATTTTTTCCTTTGAAATATTGTAGAGCAAAAAAATGTGGAACGCTTCACGATTTTGCGTGTCATCCTTGCGCAGGGGCCATGCTAATCTTCTCTGTATCGTTCCAATTTTAGTATATGTTCTGCCGAAGCAAGAACGAATGTAGTTGAAAAATGCTGCTATTTAAATGTAGCTGTAGCCGAATGGGCAGTTGGGAATTCTAAGGCATGCAACGTAGGTAGAGGGGTAGATGAAGGATAGGTAGGTAGATAAGGCTAGTTAAGGGTAGGTAAAGGGAGGTCAGGCTTGTGTTTTCTGCCTGCCGACTCACCATGCCAATAATGGGACTGCCACTCGATAGGAATCCCTTCTGTGTACAGACGGTCACCTCCAGCTCGGTGTGCCGCAGTTCGGCAATCGAAATGAGGTACTCAAAGGAGGCATCGTAAACTGGATTACAATTGTCCTTGATGACGGAGGTCTTGCGCTTGGACTCCTTGCTGCGTCCGGGCAGCAAATACAGCTTCACATATGGATCAGGTATGCTGCTCGGATCACGCAACGGTATATTCATGATCTTGTGTATGGTCACGTCCAGCTTTTGCCGCTGCGCCGAGTATGTGATGGATAGCTGTATGCGACCCAGACCATGCTCTCCGGACGTGGAAGTCGTGTCGGGCATGCGATGGGTCAGCGTGGAGCTGGCCACTTCGCTAATTGCTTTCTCCAGCGATGCAGATGCTGGGATTATTGTCGTACTCTTGATGGGCTCCTCCTCGCTAATCGGGGTCTCAGCGGAGAGGCGTTTAGCCTTGGCCTGCTCATCCTGCAAGGAAGCAGAAACCAAAGGAGATTATAAAATGATTTTATTTAATGTAAATTAATATTATTATCAAGTATTATGTATTATTATATCTGATTATATAACTTACCTTGGAAGCTTGACTAGTTAGTGCTGGTGGATCGGGCGTCTTGACAGATGTGCTACGCTGCATTGCTGCGATCTGCTCCAGTGCTTCCGACTCATCGTCGATTTCGCCGGCCTTCAAAATGCGCAGAGATAGTGACATATATAATCTGGATTCGGGTCCAGACTTTTGCAGCTGGAACGGCTGCTGAATGACCTCCATGTTGAACTGCTTCAGCAGAGTGCTGAGCGTGTAGGTAAATTGGCCAATATCGTTGCCCGTCTTCTGGTCATAGATCTTGATGTTGAGGCTCTCGTTATTCGGATTGGTTACCAGGAAGGTGAAACCTTGCTCCCAGACTGGCGAATCATCGCGCAGGATCATTGCAGTCTGCTTCTTCTGCTTGTTGACGCTGCACACCAAATAAGGATCGGGCTTGGAGTTGGCACGGGCTTGCTGCAACGAATAAGAGATTATTCAGAGATTAATCCATGATAGTTGACTTTAAACAATATTGCTTACCTTCAGATGGCGAGCGGAATCAATGAATACGCTGAGCACAGCCGAGCTCATGGTCGTCACACGCAACAGTTGAGTCTCCAATAAGATCTGCTGCAGGTCATTCGGATCGGCCGTCAACTTATACCATTGCAGACGTACATGCAGATCGCCATGCTTGGCATCCTCTAGAGCAAGCCACTGTGAAGGCGGGAATAACATATTAATAGGATTGAACGTGCTCTGAATAAT